AGATCTTGCCATAACCATGGGTCTGAGCCACCAGGGTCCTTGACATGGCCCAGCTCATGTCAACAAATATACATTCACTCATGGCTTCCTTGGCACCCCACAATCATGGAAGAGGAGAAAAAGCTCCTTGGAACATCATATTTCTAAGCCTTGTAACTCAAATCTCTCAATCAATGAGAAATTATCATAGTGAGATAGTGCTCAAAATGAGGACATTGTCTATCTACCTTTCAGTGTGTAGTCTGACTTCCTTCACTACCCTCATCCACCCCAGATGCATGATCAACTCACCCATGTACAGTAATTCATACCTTCCCATTGATCCTAGCACATCAAAAAAAAGAGGAGAAAATGAAACATGGTGTAGTAGCTTAGGGGGAGCTTTGCTGTTTGTCAGTCTAGAGTTTCAACCCTGGCCTCTTCTTGTTGTGTGATACTGAGTAACTCTGCCTCATCTAGAAGCTTCAAATTGCTGTGTATATCGCTCTGTATAAATAAAATACTGATTGGCCAGTAGCCAGGCATGGAGTATAGGAAGGACAAGCAGAGAAGACAATTCTAGGAACAGGAAGGCTGAGTCAGAGAGACACTGCCAGCCGCTGTGATGAGAAGCAACATGTTAAGATACCGGTAAGCCACGAGCCATGTGGCAACTTATAAATTAATAGAAATGGGTTAATTTAAGATATAAGAACAGCTAGCTAGAAGCCTGAGCCATTAGGCCAAACAGTTTAAATAATATGAGTCTGTGCGTTTATTTTATAAGTAGGCTGCGGGACTGCTGGGGCTTGGCGGGAGATGGAGAGAAACTTTCCAGCTATATCAAATAAGTGGAGAGAAGCCCAAACCAAACTGGCCTGAGCTGAAATGTAATGACTGTCCCACAAAGATTACAAAGCCTGAAGATACAATGTGACTTTGATGCCTATTGCAAGCATCATTGTCCACTGGATCTGAGTTTTGGTCCTTAGCACTTAAGTCTACTCCCTCTGGTTTAATCCTGTTCTTTTACGGCAGTGTGATAGCTGCAGAGGCTCCAGCTTCCATGAAAACAAGCACCACGAGAGACTAAATTTTCCTATTAACTTAGGCAAAAGCCTCAGATGTAGTACAAATAGAGCCTGACTGTTCAACCTGGATCATATGCCAATCCATGAGCCAATCACTTAATTGTCTTCAGAAGACAATTAAAGTCCTGGTTGGCCAAACTGAAGTCACATGCCATAACTGTTGCTGAGGACAGACTAAGTCCATGGGGTACTTCTTGGGTAGAAAGTGGGGAGCAAACTCTGCATAGTTGAAAAAACACCAAATACCTGTTCCAGAGAAGTTGTGAAAAAGCAAATGATATACCCAAGTAACACACTTAGGAAATCACAAAGCATTTCATGCTTGGCACATGAAGTACTCAATAAATGTCGACTCTTATTGATGTTATCCTCACTAAGTTCACACCTTCTGCATCCAAGCTTGTAGACAGGAAATTACAGAAGGAATGCTGGACTGTATACTTGCTTAAGTCCAGTTTGTCATGGCAGGAATGTAAAAACTCCTTTGACTTCTTTCCCTCAAGACACTGTTGACATTAGGATCCTGGTAGCTCAGACAATGACCTCCAAGGTGAACTTTATGGATGAAGAGGGGTAATAGCTGTACAGGTTCACACAAATCAGTGCCACTCTTGTTTCCTAAGATCTACTCTCCACATCTCTCACACCCCACAACTTCAGACTTTGGGGAGAAATGCTCCCATATGAGCTGAACCATTGAGGAATGATGCCATCCCATCAGCGTCATTCATTGTAAAAATGAAGATAATGATGTCTCTTCAGTAGAATTGTTTGAAAAGCTGAGTGACAAGAAATAGGTGATGGCAGTATGCTTCTATCAGTAGATCCTGTTTCTAAGTCCTTAGAGTATAAATAACTCATTTAATCATCATCACAGCTATATGTAAATTGTACTTCTGGTATCTCCATTTGACAGATGACAATAATGAGGCAGAGGGGAATGGAAATTTGCATAAGTGCATAGAAATGATACATGTGTTAAAGTTAAGATTTGAATGTTTCAGGAGGCTCTAGAATCTGAACTTTTAGCCATTCAGTTCCAACCTCTGAAGTATGAGTGTGTCTGTGAAAGCACCCAGGTCCATGCAGCCATAGCAAGAACAGAAAGCAGAAGGTTTTGCATGCCTGATGTATATCAGCACCAGGTACTAAGTGTATTGTAGACACTAGCTTACTTCTAAGAGAAAATTCAGTAATAAACCCCCTTTCTCTCCACTTGAAGACACTGAGGTTAAACCTCATACCTTGTCTTGGTTCCACCAAAGGCTATGTGGGTGTATGTGGTCTGTGCTGCCACTGGAAACCATGATGATGTCCATGGCCTGTACGAAGAGCCATGATGCCATGCATGATCTGTGCTGTGGCCAGAGGCTGTGTAGATGTTCATGGTCTGGGCTCCTGCTAGAGGCCATGTTGATGTCTGTAGTCCATGTTACCACCAAAGGCCAAGTGGATGTCCATGGTCTGTGCTGCCAGCAACGGCCATGATGGTGTCGGTGGTCCATGCTGCAGCCCAGGCTTGTTGATGTCTGTAGCCTGTACTGCCACCAGAAACCATGTGGATGTCCATGACCCATGCTGCCACTGATTATAAAGAGCAAGGAAGCCTCTTTTGCAGTGGTATTGATGACTGCAGACCCAAAGCTGACAATGAGGGACCCAGAAGGCTTCTGTGACAATCTTCCTTCCCCATCCCCCCACCCCAAAACAGAAACAGTCTAGACAGGAAGCAACTGAAGAGAACTCTTAAAAATTATGATAGAGAACCTAAGAGTAGCTCTGCACAGTTGATCATTTCTGGCAGGGGTGGGGGTGGAGAAGGACAGTTTTCTTCAAGGGGCTGGTCACTAAGAGTTCCACCATGCTCCAGTACATGGACAGCACATTGTTTCTCTTTTCTACTTTTTTTCTTTGGGGGAGTCACAAGAGTGGGGGATGGACCTGAGAAGACTGGGAAGTGAGTGTGATTGAGGTACATTATGTGAAACTCCCAAATACACAATAAAAATATTATGTTGGAAAAAAAAGAAAGAATTTCAGTGTAGGACCAATAAATGTAATGTGCCAAATACAACAGAAAATTCCAGAAATATTCTGGTTTCTGAATGGGAGGGGAGCTAAGCCTTTGGGAGCAAGACAAATGGTCCACAAGTTCCTAAGGATGCCTCTAGACCACTGGATGATGAAGCTCTGGGATGGGCTAGCAATATCACTTTTTAGCTGTGCACTGATTGAAAGTTTACAAAGCCTCATCTCATACATTTTTCTGTTTGGCACACACACACACACACACACACACACACACACACACACACACACGTAAGAAGAATGGTTTTTATCACTTTTCAACACTTGACATTCTGAGGCTCAGATAAGGCCCCAGAGCTAAACAAATCCAGTGTCTCCACTGTATTCTGCTCTTCCCAACATCTCTTCTCTTTGTGCTTATTCTGCATGTGACACAAACGATGGCCATTTATGCATGACTCCTGCTGTGGCCTGGTGGGAAGTTAAATTGCTTCCCTTTAAAAAAAGTAAGTCAACTCTGCCCATGACCTTTTTATCACAATGATACCCTTGTAATCTGCTGCAGGTTTTTGTTGTCTGTTGGTTGCTGTATTAATAGCCCTTCCATGAACAGCTGTGTGTGAAAATTGCAACCACCCCTGTTTTGACTTCTTGAAGGATGATTGTGGGCTGGGATCTTCTTCAATAATCAGACTAGATCAGGACATTTATATTCCACCCTCTGTAGTTCTGGGTTCCTGAATCGAGGTGGTATGATCTTGCAAGGATTTGTCAAGAAACTGGCTTCCCAATCTTACAGCATCCCTCAACAGTAATTAAATACTTAAAGAGCTTCACTCTTGAGGCAAAGGTGTGCAAGGCAAAGGACATGTCCTATGTATGCTTTCTCATCGTATCTGCCAATAAAATAATAATTCTAAGTGTTTTCTTCTGCCTGACTGCCTGTTTTTATTTCCTTGCAGAGTAGAAATTACTTTTGTGTTCCAGATGGCACAGCCTGGCATTCTGGTTTGGTGTGGCCTTTGTTGGATCTCTCATATATCCCCCAGCTTCCTAGCCTAGTGTACTCAGTATTTGCGTTTCTAACCAGAAGTTTATAATTCTTAAGATTTAAGTTAAGCAACAATACTAATTACTTCTTTAGTTTTCAGGGAAATAAACACTGATTTTTAAAAATAAACTCTATGTTTTTATATTTTAGGGTAAAATAAAAACAAGATGGTTTTCCATGGTGTGTTATCAAATTTGATTCCCCATCTTAAGCTGATAACTGCATTGAGAAGAAGAGGACTGGAGAAGGGTCTGCATTCTCTGAGCCCTCTTGGTCCCTTTCAGGATGGACCAGGTGGAATCTGCATGCCTAGTTAATTCCACCTCTTATGTCAGTAATTGCTTGAATTATTCCCTTCCCCACAGTCCTTGCCAATCCAGCATCCTTCTCTTGTGATCAGAGGCCAGCATGTTTTACCAACACTAATTGCAGATGCAGTAACTTCTGTATCTGTGTTCTCCTTTCCTCCTAGTGCAGGAATTTTTGGAGGGAAAATAGAAGAAAGACCACCTACAAACTGACTGTCCATTTGGTATTCCTTGTATGGGCAATACCACTCCTGTGCCCCTGACCCCCAAATTGATATTTCTCTCTGACTTCATAACTCTGTGCCCAGGTTGCCTCAAGAGTCTCAGCTTGTGGAGAGACTTTATCTGGGTCCTGTACCCATGTGAAGGTTAGCATCTAGGCTTATCATTGAATCTACCTAGAAAAAACAGTCTTGGGACTCTGTTAAAGTGGGTGGATAGGGAGTCCAGTGAGGGAAACCCGGGGATGGGGAACCCATCGAATGCTTATCTAGGGTGACAATCAGAGAAGGAAATGATACATGTCATATTCCATGTACATACATTTAATCAAGGAGTAGACATAAGTCTATCTCAGCAATGTCCGACATAGTTGAACTTGTTCCTGAAAAGAGAAGGAAGATGAACTTGAAGAGATTTTCTTCAATGGAAAAGCTTCTTTGTAATTGATCAGTTTGACTTTAAAATGTAGACAACTTGTGTCCTTCTCTATATTGGTAAATTTGGATAGAGAGGTGACTTATCATACCCAACAGTTTAATTGCATACCCTTTTGTCCAAGTCTTCATGTCAAATTGCCTGGCCCCAGGGCAAGTGAGTGCAGAGTTAGGAGTTCAGAAACATGATCTCACTTCTCCCATGAAATAAAGAGCCCCAATTTAAACACACATAAGCAAGGGGCATCTTTACTGGAAGGAAGCAGAGCCCATCTGTTCCAACAGTTTATCTTGCTTTTGGAAGCACCCCCCCCATACCCTCCAAACAGATTGGCATTTAAACTCTAGGCTCCTCCCTTGCAACAGTGCTCAGAATAAGCAGTTCCTAACTTAACTGTTACCAATGGGACAGCTGGTGAACACTGATTCAGAAATGCAGGTTGACATGGTGGTTAGGTCTGTCAGTTTGAAACTTAGTTCTTCAGCTGTCACCTGTGTGACATTTATTATTTATCAATAAATGTAAATGACCTGGGCCAGTCATTTAATTCTCCAGGTTCCCTTTGTAGCACGGCTGTGTTGATTTCATGGGATAATAATGTTTATCAATTCTTAATGTGTGTGTTCACACTGAACATATAGCCATTGCTCAGTGGAGATACCCTTATGTTACAGTATCACATGGCTCAAAAAAACAAAACAAAATGAAAACTGCTTATCAGTTTTAGCCCCCAGTTAGACTCATTAATGTCGACCTGCTAGGTCATGGGGCTTTCAACTCTCTTCTTTCCTCCCTACCAAAGTAACAGTATAGTTGTCATCAGCCCTAATGAAGCCTCCGACTCATGGGTACAAGTATGTCACCTTCTCTATGGACCCCGCTCTTTACAAGGAAGGGGAGATACTACAGGGAAAGTGTAGTTTGTAGCCGATAAGTGGTAATAGAGTGAGCACACATTGTAATTTCACCCATTTCTTGGGCATTTGGAGTAGAAACTGGAAGAAAATGGAGGCTCCTTGAAATGTCACTGTCAAAAAAAAAAAAAGAAAGAAAGAAAAAGAAAAAAGAAAAGAAAAGAAAAGAAAAGAAAAGAAAAGAAATGTCAACTGCTTTCATATGGACTGCAAGTATTTGAAAGGCCTAAGCAGTTATGCCCAAAGCCTGAAGGATAGATTTCTCCCTTGTACTAAAAGAGGAGCTGGGCAGTGTTCTCCACCTGACCAAGCAGAAGACAGGAAATCAGCCTGTCATGGTAACAAATGTTTAAACCCATGTGTCCTATTAGTTTTTTTGTTTGTTGGTTTTTGTCAACTTGACACAAGCTAGAGTTATCTGGGAAGAGCAATATCAATTAATAAAATACCTTTACCAGATTACCCTGTTGGCACGTCTATGGGACATTTTCTTGATTAATGATTAATGTGGGAGGGCCAAGCACACTGCGGGTGGTACCCTTCCTGGGAAGGTGGGTCTGAGCAAACTGAGTAAGGCAGGAGGATCAAGGTAGTGAGCAGCACTGCTCCATGACCTCTGCTTCAGTTCCTGTCTAGAGGTTCCTGCCCTGAACGCCTGTCTTCCCTTCATGAGGGACCATGACTGGGATGAGCAAGCCAAATAAACCTCCCTAAGCTACTTCTGTTGTGGTCTTTAGCACAGCAATAGAAAGCTAACAAACACACCATGTAAATGTCCTTGATGTATTTACATCCTTAGCCCTGTGAAATTGATATATGCTGTTTGAAGAAAGTCTTTCTGGGGCACTAAAGGGTGTGTCAGAAAGAATTGTTTGCTTCCTGTGGCATTGTATTTCAAGAGGTCTCTGCTGTGGGATGTCCTTCTGTAGGCTGTGAATGTGTGTTGCTTTTGTTGATTGATAATAAAGCAGTTTGGCCAATGGCAGGAAGAATAAGATTAGGCAGTGCAATCAAACTGAGGACAGAGATGAAGAAAGGTAGAGTCCAGCCGCCACAGGCAGCCACTGAGGAAGCAAGACATGTAGAAAAGGGGAAGTGCTGTGGGATGTCTTTCTGTATGCTATGAATATGTGCTACTCTGATTGGTTGATAAATAAAGCTGTTTGGCCAATGGCGAGACAGAATAAGGTTAGGCAGTACATGCAAACTGGAAAGAGAGGAGTAGAAAGGAGAGTGGGGTAGTCACTGCGAGCCACAGCCAGGGGAAGCAAGATGTGAAAGTACCAGTAAGCCACGAGGCCACGTGGCAATGCATAGATTAATAGAAATGGGCTGAGTTAAGTTGTAAGAGATAGCTAGTGAGAATCCTAAACCATTAGGACATACAGTTAATAAGTAATATAAGCCTATAAGCCTCTGTGTTTACTTTGGTCTGAGTGGCTGCAGGACTAGGCAGGACACAGAAAAACTTCTGACTGCAAGCCCCCCCCCCCCCCCCAACCCCCCCCCCCCCCCCCCCCGTTAAATGTTTTTGTTTTTTTTTTATAAGAGTTGTCATGGTCCCAGAAGGACAAACATGGTAGGTACTCACTCATAAGTGGATACTAGATATAAAGCAAAGAACAATCAGACTGCAACACACAGATCCAGGGAGGCTAGATAGAAGGGGGGACCCTAGGATGACTGTGGCTTATAATAAGTTTTGGTTTTGTTTTACTCAATCACTGGGCAAGCTTCAGTAAAACATTTCACTATTAGGATAAGAATTTGTACTGTATCAAGCTGATAATAGAAAAAAATAAAATAAAATAATAATTTAAAAAAATCAACCAAACAAAAACAAAACAAACAAACAAACAAACAAACAAACAAACAAAAAGAGTTGTCATGGTCATGGTGTCTCTTCACAACAATAAAAAGCCTAACTAACACAGTCCTAATATAGTGATAGGTCTGCTTTGTTCTTTTAGTAGATGCATGCAAGTCCAGAACATGGATATGTCCTAATGTCTAACAAACAAACAAACAAACAAACAAACAAAAAACCCTAGTCCATGCCTTGGCCTAGCATTTGGAAGGCTGAGGCAGAAGAATCATAAGTTCAAGGCAAGCCTAGATAACATAGCAAGACCCTTTGTAGAAAAAAAAAAACAAAAAAACAAACAAACAAACAAAAAAAAATCAAAATGTTTCTTTGGCATTTGGATTGCTTTCTCTATTTTTGCCATTGGAAATTTCTTTAGTAAATATCTTCAAATATAAATTGTACAGTGGCATCTCAAATGAGATGGCTAGAAATGAGGATACTGGACCTAAGGTTGTGTGCCTCCTATGGTCTTATAGAAGGCACTATCTCTCTTGGATCAAAAACAATCTTGCCTTGGCCTGCAACAGATGAGCATGTTCATTCCTCTACCTCTTTACTAAACTGAATGTTTCCATCTGTATGATTTCTATGAAACATTTCTTAAGATCTTTGTAAGTGATTTTAAATCCTATATAGGTGTGTGTATATGAATACAGGTACACAGGTGCCCACGGAGACCAGAGGTGTCTGGTACCCTGGATCTGGAGCTACAGATGGTTGTGAGCCTCCTGGCATGGATACTGAGAACCAAACTCAGGTCCTCTAAAAGAATGGTGAGTACTCTTAACCACTCTAAGTTTTCCTCTATGAAACAGCCTGGCTTATCAATGTCATTTTAAATATGTCTCCAGAATAAAACTCAGGGCAGTCTCTGTATTCTGTTAAGTGTCAGGTACAGAGAACAGATTGTGAATGTTCTGAATTCTGCTTCTAATGGCATAGTGTAATATAAGTTTCAATTAAGTTGGAGATTCATTGTACTTGAGTTTCTAGTCAATTAAAACTGGAAATTGTATTTTCACAGGATCTATTTTTAAGTCACGTCTTTCCCTTTTCCCAGCATGCAACTCTTTTTTGTTGGCTTTACTAGTCAAAGTTTTTGTATTTTTCAGTCCACGCACCCATCTGATGTTTTTATATCTTTACTAGAGCTGATGAATTGTTTTACTTTTGAAATCCTTTTGTACAACATATTAATCATCCTTACCGATTGCTAAAGAAATAACATAATCTTCCTTCAAAGGTGATTCTCTCTCGTGTATTCCATTCCTTTTTGATCTGGTCTTGGAAATGACTCTGAATCCACTTGTGTTTCTATCAAGCCCACAATCCTCTACCCAGGCCAGAGGAAATATTCTCCGTCCTTCGCCAGAGTGTTACCCAAATGAGCTGACTATCTGTATCCACTCTATAGTCCCTCTCAACAACCATGCTGAAGAGGAAGGCAAGATCAGCTGGCTGTGTGGAGTTCCTATCTGCTTTCCTAGTGGGAACATCCAAGTCTCTGGTTGTCACAGCTTTCTCAGTCCTGAGAGGGTTAAGTTTTTGAAGTGCCGATACAGTTGCATCATTTCAAATGTGCTGTTAGGAGGCAATGAAAAGTCCTTCTCCCAGTAGGGACCCCACTGACGTCCCTCCTGCCACATTCTATAGCCACTGTTGTCACATTGTATGTTATGGTTTCTTGTATGTCCTCCCTGATATTCACTAAGGATGTGCACAGAAAACACTGTGGTGACAGGATTTTTTTCCTGCTTCTGGACTTACATAGTAACATCTTCAATGTTTTTCTCCATCTTCATCTTTGAGTTAGTAAGACATCACAAGGATGTTTCAGTCTCCACCCATCCAGGTCTTTCTTCCTTCAGTTACACTTCTGTATCACGTTTTCTCGTTGATGTAATCACATCCTTCATGCAAGTCAGGGCTTTGTCAGAGTTTAAATTTTGTGACAGAGTATCTGCTCCCATTATAAAATCTGGGACTCCCTGGGCTCCGTGGCCACATGTGCTTCTCTTGTACACTTGTCCATCTGTCTCATCCTAATCTCAACTGTTTTTCCAGCCCTTGCACAGATGTTGGTGGCTACAGATGGCTTCTCCTGGTTTTACAGAAAATGGACTCTGGGGTCTGAGGAATCTTTCTGTTTTTCATGCTTTGGGTGGC